ACAGGTATTTGTTTGTAGGTTGTGTTTTGAATGCTTGCTGCGCTTCACTGATCTTAAACCAGTTTAAGAAGAACCAGCGGGAAACATCTGTGCAGAGTCTCTGACAGTGAGATTTTTCATAATGATGATGATGTTACTGACTTCACTGCTGATCACAATCATGCTCAGACTTCAAGGTGATGAGTGATGTGGTTCTGTGTATTCTCTGTTATGTTGTACTATATATCACACTGTCATTTTAACAAAGTAACATATTTTAATTTCCAGGATCAGATGCCAGTTCATCTGTGACTCAGTCTCCTGTGTTTAAAGCTGCTGCTTTGGGGGAGACGGTCTCTCTGAGCTGTACAGCCAGTGAAGGAGTTGATGATGATCTCAGCTGGTATCTACAGAAACCTGGACAGCCTCCCAAACTGCTGTTTTACAAAATCAGCAGAAGTGAATCTGATACTCCGAGTCATTTCAGCAGCAGTGGATCTGAGCCTGAGTTCACTCTGACAATCAATGGAGTTCAGGCTGCAGATGCAGGAGATTACTACTGTATGGGAGAATATAGAGGCCCAGTGTTCACACAGTGATACAGAGTCGTACAAAAACCTCCCTCAGTTACTATTTGCAGTGTTGCAGCTGTGAGCTTCTGATACAGACTCTGACATGCATCACTGGTTCACTGAGTCCACTTTCAGAGGTGGAAACTAAAATATGTATTCATTCCTGATCACATTATTAAGAAGATTTTAAATTAAGTAACACTGTTTAGAATCTGCAACATATTATCCTTATTTCACTAAATTTTGTATTAATTCTAATTTGCTGTGCATAATAAGGTAATATGAAAATACTTTTGTTTATACAATACATTTTAAATCACAAAGTTATAAGGTGTTTCACATTTTAAATAAAATCAACTTATAAGAAATACGTTTTTATATCACAGCATACATAAATACATATTTAAAACTAATTGGTGATAACAAAGGTCAAACTTAAACCGCCACATGATCAGGATAACGAAAACTAGCAAAAATTGCAGAAAAATGTATTTGGTTAATTTTATTAATTTGATTAGTAAAATTTTAATATTAATTCTACAGTTTGCCAGAAGGCCACAAAGGGAAGCAAGAGAAGATCTGGTGTTCTTTGAGGATACTTTGAGTCAGATTTTTGCAGTATTAATTCCTTGAGAAAACCAGACTGGATGGGCTTAGAGGCTCAAAATCCAAGTCTTAGTCAAAAAACTTGCACAGAAAATTCATCTAGTCATCAAAACCAAATATTGAACCCAGACCCTGTACACAGTTTTTAACTTAATCATCTACTTTAATTTGAACTTAACAATGATTGCATTCCATACATGAACATGTTGTTTGTATTTGTTTTTTCAGTTTCCTACCAGAGGGTTGGAATCAGGTGTTAAAGTTGGATTTGGGAGGTGGAAAGTTCAGCTGTAGCAGGGCAGCAGCGACTTTACATTTTGCAACATATAAGACCATATTACATTCATGATGGAAAATTTTCCAACTCTTCACCAGTATAAAGCTGGATTTTAGTTGGTATCTTTATCTTTTGTTTCAAAGGTCAACAGCAATCGCTGACTTTGCACACAATTAAACTTTTAAAAGCTTCTCCCCAAGAACAAAACAAAAGTGATTTTTCTTATGCTGTGATTTTATTTTGTGATTTTTACTTTTATTACACCCTTTTTTTAAAGTCAACATGGATAATATTAGCTGATAAACTTAGCATGCACATCATTAGAAAGTCAAACGTTTGCAGAAATATCGCAACAGCAGAAACATGTAGCTTCATCAAACTATAAAACACATCATATGCAGACAGGAAGTGTTGCTGAAGCTCTACTCTGAGCAGTGGTCAGGGTCCAGGGTTTGAGTGACGGGGCTCTGTCCACTCAGACTGGCCTCACAGCTCACTGAGCCCGCCTTCCTCCAGAGGCTCAGGGTGCTGCTCCAGCTGTAGCGGCCGTCTGTCCCCAGGACCTCCAGGCTGGTTGAAACCCCTGAGGATGTGCTGGTGCTCCCCACCTTCCAGCCCAAATTCCAGTTTGAGGGGAAGCCCCCGGTGGCCAAACACACCACAGTGGCACTACTCTGTTTGTCTTCCTCTTTGGAGGGAGGGAGGACTGTGAGGGTGGGCCTCACCACACCCGCTGGAGGAGAAAAGGTTGAAGATAACCGAAAAAAGAGATACAAATGTACAAACATAGGAATAAATATATTGTCAGTGATTACTGATCAAACCTTTATTATTTCATGATGTTTTACAGTTAATAACTTGAGCTTGTGATAATTTTCTTATTTGAAACTGACAAAGCTAAAGCACTCATGAGAATACAGTTAAAACTTCACATCTGTTTCTTTCACTTCCTTTAAACGTCATTTAAAATTGATCAACCATGAACACAAAATCGATCTAAATATACTGAGTTAATTTCTTTTTTCTAATATAAGTCGACAAAACATAATTCAATATTTGTTTTTATTTTATAATTCATGAGTAAAAATACATTTTAAATCAAAGTCAGCTAAAACGTCACTATCACAGATTTTATTATTGTAACCGGATAATATTTAAAGTGAAATGAACTCAAAAAACCATCAAAATTTGTTTTCTGTAAGTTCAGTTCCTTAAAAGACCGAATGAATATTGATTTAAGAAAAGTTTCTTCCAAAATGTTGCCATGACATTAATAATAATCACTGAATTTAATCAAAGTTCTGTTTAATAGATTGATTTAAATGCTTAATAAATACTATGTTTATCAAAAATTACGAATTTCTGGTACTTACAGCCAACGATGAGTTTGGTTCCTCCACCAAAAGTGTTCCACAGTGATACAAACTCATTAAGTGGCCGTACAAAAACCTCCTGCACTCTGAACAAACCTCTAACCACTGAAAATGAACCTTTTTTTCAAGTAAAACATCACAGTACACCTGATTAAATGCAGAAGATGATTTGACTAAAGTGACTTAAAATTATTTAATGAATTTAAATCATAATTGTCATTACTGTATTTTGAGTATTAAGAACTGAACGACAAAACGGAATTTTCACATTACACATATAAATTTTTTAAAACACACAAAACACTGTTTAAAACAGCAACCAGAAATGCCTCAAAAAAGCATGAATTGTGAAACTATGACAATATACTTAAGAACGTTATACAGGTATATTGTATTTATGATATCAAAATCAAAAATAAGCATACAGACCAGAGTGCCACTTTAATCCAGGTGTTAAAAATACGTAAATATGTTTCCAAATATCTTTTTCTCTATGGCATAAAATTATTAATGGTATTAATTCAAACAATTTTTCTTCTGATTCTGTGCCCCACATTGCCCTCAGTGTGTTGAGAGCAGAGAAATGATTTCCATAAAGAGGAGGCTTTGCATCATCAGCTGATCCTCCAGAGAACTGAGAAGGTTTATAGTCCTGTGACTTCAACACTGCAGGACTCACATCTGTCAGTCAACACAGCAGAAAGCACAACCACCATGACTCTCATCACCATCCTCATCTGGACGCTGACCTGCTGCTGTTTTACAGGTTCATTCACTCAGCAACATTTCCAACATGATGTGCTGCTTTTTCTCTCATTGATTTCTGCTGATAAATGAATGATTTGTTTCTGTCTGCAGGATGCAGCGGTCAGGTGACTGTGACTCAACCTCCAGTAGTAACATTTACTCCTGGAAACACTGTCACCCTGACCTGTAGGACCAGCCAAGCTGTTTACAGATGGTCTGATGGTGATGAGGGTATGTACTGGTATCAACAGAAGTCTGGACAGACCACAAAGCTCCTGATAAGATACGCGAAAAAGCTTCAGTCAGGAACACCATCTCGATTTAGTGGCAGTGGAAGCAGCTCTGACTTCTCTATGACCATCAGTGGAGTTCAGACTGAAGATGCAGCAGTTTACTACTGTCAGAGTTTCCATGAAATAAACAGTGCTTATGTGTTCACACAGTGATTTGTAGTCGTACAAAAACCTCCCTCAGTCAGACTGCAGAGACACTGAGCTGTTACAGCAGGAACTGACTACAGCTGCTGAAGAGGAAGAAACTCTGACACAGACCAGTGAACACAGAGCTGACAGTAACCTCACCAAGCACTAAATACTCATCTACACTTCTTTTGGGGAATTCTGAAATATTCACTCCCCTTCATCATCTTCAATGCCCTGTACCAACACAGATTAGAGCAGCTACCTGAACACTGCTCCAACAGAGGTCGATCATCTTGTTAATAATTTTGCCTCCTCACTAAGTATGACACTGGTTACTGTAGCTCATGTAAAAAAGAGATCCTCAAATCAAAAGTACTTGACTCTGGAGATGAAATGGCGTAAAACAAAGTTAGAAGATCATCTTTTTGCTTTAGTTTGCTGCATTATAAGAAAGCCCTCTGTAAAGCTAGAACATCTTTCTATTCATCACTGATTAAAGAAAATAAGAACAACCCAAGGTTTCTCTTCAGCACTGTAGCCATGCTGACAAAAAGTCAGAGCTCTTTTGACTCAACCGTTCTTTTAATGTTAACTAGTAATGACTTCAAGAACTTCTTCACAAATAAAATTTGAACCATTAGAGAAAAAATACTCATAATCATCTCACAGATGTAACATTATCTACAGCAACTTTCAGTGCCATTAATATTCATATAGAGTCTTTTTCTCCAGTTGCTCTTTCTGAGTTAACTTCAGTAACTGCTTCCTCAAACCATCAACATGACTTTTAGACCCCATTCCTACAAGACTGCGCAAAGAAGTCCTGCCATTAATTAATGCTTCAATCTTAAACATGATCAACCTGTCTCTAGTAATCGGCTATGTACCACAGGCCTTCAAGCTGGCAGTAGTTAAACACTTACTTAAAAAGCCTTCTCTTGACCCAGCCGTCTTTGCCAGTTAGTCTTAGCTTTCTTTCATGTCAAACATTCTTGAAAGAGTAGTTGTCAAACAGCTAACAGATCATCTGCAGAGGAATGGCTTATTTGAAGAGTTTCAGTCATGTTTCAGAGCTCATCACAGCACAGAAACAGAATCTTCTTATAGCCTCCAGTGTTAGAGAGTAACGGAATACATGTACCGGCGTCACGTATTTAATACAAAATATGAGTAAATGTATTTTGTTACAGTTACCATTTAAATGGGTGTCCCTCACGGCAGATGGCTTTGGTGTTATTTATGTGCCTCTATTCTGTGTGAACCTAAAGAAAATTTGCAAGATCAAATGTTGCATTTTGAGGAGAAAATTATTTTGAGTGAAGAAAAGTTTAATTTCAGCAAACAAGATTCATTGTTGCTCAGTTGTTGGCTTTTGCTCTTGCTCAGATCTCTGCTCTGTGTGCTCACAGACATCTGCAGACCTGCTCTCACACATAATAACAGCCCTTCTGAGCGAGAGGGGCTGTTATTATGTGTGTATGGATAATAGCAAAACTGAAATACATTTCTTGCATGTAGCAATGAATTTTGTCTGCTCAAATTAAACAAATACACTGACACAGAGATGCACTCACCCCCCTCCCAACGCCTCCCAATGACTCCCAGTGCTTACTCCAAACCAAAGTAGGCAGGCTAATATGTCCAGCGCCGGAACACTGGCAGCAAGACCAGACTGCTGTCCACATGGGTTAACTCTTGCCCAGCCCCCCACTCCTTTGCAAGTCATGTGAATTTATGTTGAAAACAATTTCCCTAGGGACAAATTAATTATTAATAATCAATCAATCAATCAAAACTCCCTCAGCATGTCTGTTATTAAAACAAGTTTACTGATTGAAACAGTTGCACTTTTTTATTTACGTACATAAACTAATAAACTATAATGCATTCTAATGATTTACTAATGAAAAAATACTCTATGAACTATACAATGCTGATAGAAACTATAACGTGGAATATATCATTTTCTGTATTTAAAAAATGCATTGTTGTGATAGAAATATGAGGTTTGATGGAGCATTTGTATTTAATAACGTTTTGTGAAATTTCCACAAAGTTGTTTTTCTTAAGCTGTGATTTTACTTTGTGATTTCAACTTTTTTTACAGCATTGTTTTAAAGCACAACATGGATAATATTCGCTGATAAAATTGCACATCAATAATGAGTCAAACATTTACAGGATTATTGCAACAAATGAAACATGTAACTTCATCAAACTATAAAACACATCAGATGCCAACAGGAAGTGTTGGTGAAGCTCTACTCTAAGCAGTGGTCAGGGTCCAGTGATGTTTCCAGTAACTCTGATTGTAATGTTTGACTTTCTGAGTCAGGGTGAGAGACTTTTTACTTGTTTGTTTTTAATTCAGTTTGTGCTGTTCATGTTTCTCTGATTTAACCTGATACATTTTCTGTTGTTTTTTCCTCAAGATTCAAATCATTTTAGTCCTCATTTCAAAGTTTTTTGCCAATAGTTTTCTGACTCTGTAAAGCCAAGTCTGTCAAGCACTGTGACCATTAGTGCCACAAGGAGTTGCTGGACTTAGTTACTACCTTCAGAAACCTGGACAGCCTCCCAAACGGCTGTTTCTCAAAATCAGCAGAGGCCAGTCTGATACTCCGAGTCATTTCAGCAGCAGTGGATCTGAGCCTGAGTTCACTTTGACAATCAATGGAGTTCAGGCTGCAGATGCAGGAGATTACTACTGTATGGGAG